AGATGTGAAATTTGGCTTCAAAAACTTGTAACAGTTCTTTCTTGCAATGTATTCAGACAGATATTGAAAGTCAGTGTTTGCTCAAAAATAGTACTCAAACTTTGTTTTTTGTGGTGGTGGTGGAGAATCTCAGAAAATCCATGGATTTTTCAGAGCTTATTACCTGTCTGTCAGGATTGGAGGCAATAGGGATTGGGGGGGAGGAGGGGGGCATACATCCTCTAAACCATTGCAGAGAAAAGCTTTAAAAAATAAAATGATGGGTTTTTTCATTAAGCACAAATTAGAACTTTTTTTAAAGAAAAAAAACATTGTTTTGGAGCATGAGTAGTAGACAACATTTTCTCCTTTTGTTCCATGCCATTTTTCGTACTCTTTGCATGTCATGTTGTATGCACTATTGATAATTTACAATAATCTTCAAAATTAGGATGTTTCACTAACTTCCAGCAAGGCAATTAGGACAACTCATTTTGAAATACAGCTACTGCAGTAGCTCAGATTCTGCTTAATCAGGAAACTGAATGGACTATTTCATTGCCCACCTGTAACTAGGATCCTGTAGGCTTTGCAGGATCATGTGGCCTCATCGAGGCTATGGCTCACAAACGGTACTGCAAACTGACTACAGTACAGTACAGAGTAAAAATTCCTTTCACAACGAAGAAAATTACAATTAATACAAAGGTTTTAAGGATACGGCAAAGCAAACTAGCGTATGATTTAAGCCCTATCTTCTAACTGACAGTCTATGGATTGAGTGCAGTGCTTCTACCAAACCACATTAAAGAGAACCGTTTATGGGATTATGAGTAGGTGTGTGCAAGGACACTTTGATAGAGAGAGATGAAAAAAGATGTTTACCTCCCCCTGTTTTGAACTGATAGTTAAAATAAATGGTTAGATCGTGAGGAAAACTGGTTTTGTCCCTCTTCTTACTCTGCATCTGCCTCTTTCCTATTTATTTTGAAGCTTTATGTGATTTCCAAATCTACTTCAATAATACGAAAATCTATTCAGCTTTTAACTGCAGATGTTTCTATTATGGTATGGTATCTTATTTTACTTGTGCCTTGCACTGGTGCATCTGTTGCTGATATGTATACATTTGTCTGCCACTCCTACTGGCATTAAGGAAATGATTATCTTTATCTTTATGGAGATTGTTTTGGATTTGACAGTTTGTTCCATAGATACTTTGTAATTTAAACTTTTTTAAAAAATCTGGGGAACTAAATAAGAGACCTAATAGTGTAAACTTTCAGATCCTTACGATATGAAAGTAAACTTAAAAGCTAATTCATATGTGTCCATGATTTTTTTTTTTTTAATAGGACTCATCACTCTAATCCCTGAAGCTGTTCTAAAAAATTAAACTTTACATAGTTTTCTTTCACAAAGTTTGAAGACAAAATCCAGAAAACGATTAGGACTAGAGACGTTGACACTCGTATAGTATCTCAAGGGAAATACAGTACCTGTAGTCTGAGATCTATCTACTAACATCCCATAAAAACAAACCTTATAAAAGAATAGACCACATAACATTCAAGATCAGTTGGGAGGAGGCCAAATAAGAGGATGTTTGGAGAGCGTACAGTTATATGAACAAGAATAACAACTTGTGTTAAAGAGATGCTTTGCTATGCTAATTTGCCTTAAATTGGTCATTAGCTAATATGCAATAGTTGAACATAAAGAACCACCATAATGGGTCAGATTAAAGGTTCATTTAGCCCAGCATCCTGTCTTCTGACAGTGGCTGATGCCAGGTGCTCCAGTGGTGTCAGCCGATGGTCAGAGACGTGTGTGTGTGTGTGTGTGTGTGTGTGTGTGTGTGTGTGTGTGTTACACCCGAGTCTTCGACTGCTGGGACACAAGGTCCCGTCGCAGCGGGCAGCCTAGGGAAGGCTGACGGGTGCTCCTATGAGGGGGGGGGGGGGGGGGGGGGGGGGGGGGGGGGGGGGGGGGGGGGGGGGGGGGGGGGGGGGGGGGGGGGGGGGGGGGGGGGGGGGGGGGGGGGGGGGGGGGGGGGGGGGGGGGGGGGGGGGGGGGGGGGGGGGGGGGGGGGGGGGGGGGGGGGGGGGGGGGGGGGGGGGGGGGGGGGGGGGGGGGGGGGGGGGGGGGGGGGGGGGGGGGGGGGGGGGGGGGGGGGGGGGGGGGGGGGGGGGGGGGGGGGGGGGGGGGGGGGGGGGGGGGGGGGGGGGGGGGGGGGGGGGGGGGGGGGGGGGGGGGGGGGGGGGGGGGGGGGGGGGGGGGGGGGGGGGGGGGGGGGGGGGGGGGGGGGGGGGGGGGGGGGGGGGGGGGGGGGGGGGGGGGGGGGGGGGGGGGGGGGGGGGGGGGGGGGGGGGGGGGGGGGGGGGGGGGGGGGGGGGGGGGGGGGGGGGGGGGGGGGGGGGGGGGGGGGGGGGGGGGGGGGGGGGGGGGGGGGGGGGGGGGGGGGGGGGGGGGGGGGGGGGGGGGGGGGGGGGGGGGGGGGGGGGGGGGGGGGGGGGGGGGGGGGGGGGGGGGGGGGGGGGGGGGGGGGGGGGGGGGGGGGGGGGGGGGGGGGGGGGGGGGGGGGGGGGGGGGGGGGGGGGGGGTGTGTGTGTGTGTGTGTGTGATCGTATCAATATAGGTTTCAGTCAAGGACACTCCTCGGCAGCCTCTTAGACAGCAATTGGTGTATCGCTGTTTAAAGGCATCGAAGGTCACAGCAGCCAGCATATCCGGGCCTTTTGTCAAGGCATCAAAGACTATGCTGATCTTATTGCTTTGTCTATGCCCTGTATGCTCCAGGTACCTAAGAAGGGCAAGCAAGATGAATGTTGCAAAGGGGGGGTGGTTCCTGTCTGGCTACAAGTGGGAATGAACAACAGGTAATCAAGTGATCCAGCTACTCTTCTCCTTGCCAACCTTCTGGCAAACAGAGGCTAGAGAAACCATCCCTACCCATCCTGGTGGTGTGACTTTTCATCTGCATAATCTTATAATATATCCTGTTATAGTCAAATTTGTGATGGTGTAGTACATACTGTGGTTTCTGAGTTTGCAGCTCTTTAGATGTTAAGGATACTTGGCTGGGTGAAAAATTTTCACTGGACATCACAATAATGAGGATTGTATTAATGCTAGTAGCTCCATCTTTCATCAGTTTAATCTTTTAATTAATCCTCCTCCTCCTTAGAGTAAGTCTTCACATGGGAATCAGTAATTAATCAGATAAACACGTTTAGTTGCTGTCACATCACTCAGAACCAGGACAGCAAACTGCTTTTTGCAATTGGAGCTCTGACTTTTTTCTCCTCTGTTTTAGTTGCTTTCTCCAACTGCCTCCTACCTCTCTCCTTCATATTTTTGCATTGCCAGCCTTGTTCTTCTGGCCCTCAGTGTTCATCTTCACTTTTTCTTCTGTGCTCAGGCCATTCCTTTCAGGTTTGTCTTTAGTCTAGCAGAGCTGGGATCCTGATGGTGGGATGGAAACTTCCAGGAATTACTGCAAAATAGTAAATATGCCCAGAAAATTCAAAGCCCTTCATAAACATTAAGCTGCATGACACAACAGTGATTTACTATTCCCATTTTATAGATGAAGAAACTGAGACATGATACAAAAGTGGATATCAAAGGTGCTTGAGAGCATTAGCTACCTCAGAGGCTCAAGCCTGGCAAAAGGAACCCAGAGCTGCTAATTGCCATGCATTCCCTGTTTGACAACTTTGTCTGATGTTCATGGACAGGATGTACTCTAATGTTTTGTGGCAAATCTATGGAAGTATGGTGGACTACATCTTGAAATTAAGGATATCTATGTTAGCAGTGAAAGTGGAATTTTTTTAAAGCAGAATTAGGCCAATGTTGAGGATTTCATCCTTTACTCATATGACAGACAGCACAACTGGTGATTGAAAACAGCCCAGTGTATAAACCTACTGCAGATATCATACTCCCAGATTCAAACCCTGGTGGCTATTCTTATAAAAAGTAAAAAGCTCCATATTGAAATAGAGAATAGTGATGAATCCATAGGCTCATGTCATAGTAATAAACAACTTTTTTTCCATTGTAGTACTGGTGCATATGTCTTGATACCTCCAAATGAAACCAGAAGGAGCCAAATACAGAAAAGTAAGTGCCTTATTGAACAGGCTCAAGATGAGTTTGTTTAAAAAAAAAAAAAAAAAAAATGCAGCTTTGGTCTTGGTGCTTTATGGCTCCTACCATTTTATCTCTGCCTTTACATTGTTTTTATGTGTGCAGCTGTGATAATATTAAAGCTATTACAATGTACAATGCACAGCCAGAAGGGATCATTGTGATCCAAGCTTAATTTGTAACGAAAAGTGTGTGTGGCTCAAACAATTTTTTTTTTTTTTTTTTTTGTATAACTTTTCCCATTGCAAGCCTAGAAGTGCCAAGGCTCAGCCTGACATCAATTAAGCACTGAATGTGATTACCAAGTAAAGGTAATTCCATCACTATTCAGACTTTTTTTTCTACCTATTTTTCATCTGACTCCTGCATGGATAGGGGAAAATAGATCAACCATTTAAAAAAAAAATTGTAAAAGTGTTCCCATCAGAATGGTGGGGAACCATAGCTGTTCAAACTAACCCTTAACTTCTATAAGACAGTAACTTGACATCTCTCCTTGCTGCTCTCTCCCCTCTGCCCTATCTGGGTGTCTTGAGTTTGTTTGATCAAATTTTGAATCTTATTTAGCGATCCATTATGAAGTCAATCTTCTCTAATACCTGTATTGGCATACTGTACATATTATATGTTTAAACTGCTCATAGGTGGTGTTTTCAGAAAGAAAATGTCCCCTTAGACAGAATTTTTAAGCAAATTCTCTAAACACTGCACAATGTAAGATGTCTTACTGTCACAGTCCTGTTTTTTTTTTTTTTTTTTTTTGAAGCAGCACAGAATATTCATATCTCCCATGAATGGCACATCTTGGGAGTTCTAGCTTTTTACCTAGCTAAAACTTCTATAAATAACTTGCTGATATCAGAGAGCACTACTTGTCAGGAACTACCTTGACTATAGTAATAGCTATGTATCTATAGTAGCCAGCCCTGCTTAAGGCAACAATAGTGGGGTTTGACCTTGAGACGTTCAAAGATAAGTGTTCTGGTTGGTAGCTGGAACCACTTGGCTCTTTCATGTGGACTAGTCATTAGACTGAGCTCAGATTCTGGAGACTAGAGTACCCACTAATGGCTAGTCTATTACTTTAAATGTGATGTGATTCTAATAATGCACTAGTGGGCTCTTATTACTGTATGCTAATTGTTTTCTCTTTGATTTAGTTGCCAACGAAGAACTAGAGAGCTTGGAGAGATGGAAGGAACAGCACCGGCCAGGACCAATTAATCTGAGACCACAGAAACTGGGTATGTAACTAGAAATAAGGTGGTTGGATGGATAGGTGGTGGTGGTGGTCTGTTGCTCTGGCTTTTAGAGATTTACAGTAGACTAAAATATTAGACACTAGCTAGTCTTGGTGACTTTAATGAACTTGTCTATGAAGAGGGGTATGTGTGTATGCGTGTGATTTTCTTCTGACTGGCACAGAAATCCTTGCATTACTTTTCTAAATATTTAAGTGATGTGTACAGGTTTTGTTTTGTTTTAAGGAAATTGAGAACAACTCTAATGCAACGAGCATGTTGGCTGAGACCACTGAAAACTGTAACAAACTTTCATACGTGTGCCTATAACTTAGCACAGCAATAGGCTGGAATTTTAAAATGGTCTGTTTTTAAGGTGAACTTTGCAATTGGGAGGGGTAGGCTGACTGTCATGTCTGACCTACAGGCTCTACTTAGCTGGTTGTATCCTAGGCTGACTTTCAGAAGAGGGCATTAAACTCCTTATCCTCTTCCTGAAGAATGTTATGTGGCAGCCTAATAGAGGTGTTTACAATGAAACTGAAGTGAGAACCCTTTCAGATTTCAGGGTGGACTGCCAATAAGTCAATGAATCAAACTGGATGCGAGGCTTGTAATTTTTAAAATTGTAGATCAGATCTGCTTCTGTTCAAGGAAGGAACAGAACAAAAATTTTTTTATTTTTTTTTTTAAAAAGGCAGATATATTATCAGGTTCTCAAGATGTTAATTCGCTTAAAGAGAACATTTACTACTTGATCAGCTTTCAGAGGACAAGAAGATTTGATCATGGTTGTTTTAATCTCCAGCTAGGGAGACTTAGGAGGGTCCCCCTAATAGCCAACCTAACAATAAGTGTAGTTAAGCTCTGGAGCAGGCTTGCATGGGAATCCCCATCATTGGAAGTTTAACAACTAGTTTGACAGATTTGTGTCAGATATTCTAGGTTTGCATGGTCGTGCCTCAGCAAAAGGAGCTGGACTTGATTATTTCCTGATGCGCTACATCTCTATGAAATTTGAGATCCAGGTCGCTGCGATCTCTATGTATGAAAGTAGTTGTCACCTTTTTGCCTACTCTTATGCACAGAGAGACTGTTGTACTAATGAAGCTGAAACCTCACTTACTCACAACTACATAGGTTGGTTTGTATTTCTTTTTTTTTTTAAACAACTGAAAAATAGTATGTAAAACTGAAGTTTGAAAACTTACAAACTGTCTAGGAACTGAAAGTCTAACCTTATTAACCCAACACTGAATGAATATGTTGGAAGAGTGGTGGTGGTGGAATGGGGGAACGGGGAGAAGTGAAAAGTCCAGCCTCCACTCAGTCTTCTGGGGGAAAAAGGTGGTGCTGGGATTCCTCTCTGCTTGAGGGGGCTTTCTTCCTTATCCACTAGCTAGTGAGTATTTAACATTTAAAAGAGGTTCTCCCAGCTGCTGGAAAGGCGGGAGGGGGAGGGAAAGAACAGTCATGCTCTAGTCCTGGCTTTGGGTGTGTTGCAGGTTTACCCCTGCTGAGACTGCCATTAGGAATAATGGGGCTTTTGGAGGGCAGAAGGGGGTCTACTCTTCGCCCTCAACTTGCGGTGTTGGGGCTTTAAAGACCTACTCCTGGAACCTTGCAAAACTATCATGAATATTTACAAGCTCATCTGAAATGGTGCTGAATGTGGCTTGTCTGTTGGAAATTCCTGTCACCCCATGTTCACCAAAGTGTCAGCAGCTCCCATTGCCCCGACTACAGTATGCCTTATTTAAAGAGAACTCCTGAGTCCATGTCCTTCTGGATGATTCTGACTGTGGAAGCCTTCACCTTCAATGGCCTTCTAGCCTTGTCTACACTGCCAGCAGGCAACTTCTGTAATGTGCCTCCTCACCCATGCTCATTCGGTATCTCCATGCACAAGAACAGGGTTCAAAGGGTGCATGGTGACAGATCTACAGAAATAGATGACTTAATCCTTCTGAGATGCATCTCTTTTGCATGGAAAGCTTCCCAGGGGTTAGTAGGCAAATAGATATCTTTTTTCACGTTCTAGTGAACTAGCAACACAATAGTAGCTGCAAAGAGTAACCTTTCAATACTGTAGGTCTTCACTGCTGAAAATGGAGATCCTAAATCCCTCTTTAGGGGCAATATTGTGTGCTTACAATTTATGTATACCTTCACTGACCAGTTTCGGTTTCGAATGGTCTCTGGAAGATCACTGAAAAGGGGAAACTACAAAATTTGTCTTGAGGACAGAAAAGGTTTAGGAATAGATAAGCAAGTTGAGGTCACAGTTTGCTACCCTTTGTATGAGCTACTCATAGCTATGTCATGTCTGCCCTGTAGCTAACTAGAGTTCTCTTTTTAGCCTTGCTTGAGTGGGTACAGTGGAAATAACCTTAAAGTTGCTATAGGCCAAATCTGGCTCTGGCCTTGCTTAAATGTCACTAGAACTTCTGGGGGTTAACCCTGGTTCTTGGTGCTACAATAAACTGAGCTGCTCTAGCCATTCTTTTTTTTTGGCACATTTGGGGAGCATTTCTGTGTTCCTAGGGGCATCGTGGGGATTGAGGCTAGTAAACGTAGTTAATGCTACATAGTATTCTAGGAGACACTGGAAGGAAGGTGGGACATTGAAACCCAGGAGAGGTTATTGGTGGGTTTTTTGACCCCCATGTGAATTAACAGTAAAAACTTTCCTGCCCAATGCTTTAGAAGGCTTTTAGGCAAGATCATGCCTAGGTAGCACTCTCCTAAACCATAGCACTGTGTTTGGAGCAGGAACCCCATGAAGAGAATTATGGCTAGATGCAGACAAACTTTTATTTGAAGCTCTGGAGGGGGTACAAAGACTATCCATTGTAGTTGCAGGGTGTGCTTCTGTCTCCCTCCCCGCATGCAGGAATATGATCGGGAATTGTCCTTTTCTTCTTTAGCTTATTGCAGTTCCTGCACTTTCCAGCCCCATAGGTAGAGCACTACAGATATCCACTTTATATCCAGTCCATTTTTTTTTTTTGCAAATTGATCAGGTGCATGCAATGCTCTACCTATACTCCTTGCAGGACCAGACAGTTCTGCCCCCTTACTAGCTCACATACACTAGCTAATGTTGCTTTCACATGAGCCATTTCAAGAAAACACAAGTTATGTCCTGGGGGGGGGGAGGAAGCTTAATGCAGAAGAAAGAGCTGTTGGGGTGTGTTCTCTGCTCCATAATGTAAGTAGAACAAGTAAGAGGGAGCTGGGGGGATTCCATCAGAGGAATCAGAATTGTGGGACATGCATAATAATTAATGCACATTAAAAGGCAGATTGATTTCCTTTATTTCACTGAAGATACACATCAGATGCAGGAAGAAATAAGGGGCTTCTGGCATGCATAGAAGAAATTTCAGCATTTGAGGAGGTTACATTGACCTTAGAGTGCTCACACATTCCAGACTGAAGCAAATACACGTTGTCCACTATATTCAATATCTAGTGTGAAGAACTTTAGCTCGATGTTTGCTGGTGTGGGCTTAATGGAGCCTGCAGAAGCTCAAATAAGAGAGATTCCCAATAGCATTTTTAATGGCACAACTGAAGGGGCTCATTAGATCACAAATTTGTCTAATGCCTCATATTGGAGAGAGTCTCATTTCAGAGACTACATTTTTAGGGTCCTCAAACTGAAGTTCTCTAATGTCTTGGCTACCTTGATTTAAATACTGTAAAAATTCAAATCTGCACTACTTCTGTGACCAGCAGATATCCAACCTTTGAGGGTAATTTAAGGTACCATAAAGAACAAACAAATTTGAGTTCCAAACATACTGTCCCTTAGATAATAGAACTCTAAGCAATAAATTAGTGTAAGTGAATAAAGAACAAATCATGCCTGACTACCTTCTTTGTTGTTTTCTTTGTATCTGAAAGGAAGGCAGCAGTGTTATATATTTTGATTTGACGACAACATTTGATATACTGCCACACAATCTTACTTGAAAAATTAATTCAAGTTGCCTTGGATAGGAGCACCGTTTGAATAGGATTGAAAACTGGCTGACAGGCTGCAAACAAAGGTTAATGACGAATTGCAGTGTATTGAGTAGTGGCTGGTGTCCAGTGGTATGCCTGCTTTGGAGATTGCACATGATTTTAATCAACATAAGTAGCTGGAGTTGATGTTAAATTTGCAGATGATGCTAAAAGGCAAGGTGTTGGCAATACCAGGGAGGGAATAAAAAAGCTAGAAAAGTGTTTGGGAAGTAACAACAACAGCCTCCACCTGGAAAAATTATTTATAGCACCAACTAATTATAGTTCCAACAGTAAGAATATTGCCTTGTATACTACATTGTCGTCACAGGCATCAATTGGACTACACAGCTGTATAAAATGAAGCCTCTGAGTGTCTGCATGAATTCTTTATGTAGCACTAATGCAATCGTCTTTTGTAGTCTTGGGTATTTCTGTAATGACACAGAGGTTGACAACTAGGAAGAAGTTCAGAGAAGAAAAACAGAAATAATTATGGAACTGCAACTGAAGGAATTAGCTTGTCCAAACAACAAAGAAAGACCCAGGATTTGTTCAGAGTATTCTCAGTTCTTCTGTTAGGTTAATGGGACTTAATCAATTCACTTCTTCACTCCTCATGGCAAGACAGATGGAAAGATTTGTTGGGTCCATCTTGTTTGCTCTGCAGTTTGAAAGTGTCATGGCTAGAGGCTGGCTGCTCTCAATGGAGGACCCACAACTCTGGAAACTACCCCCTCTTTTATTGGAGCATTTGATAAGCCTCAACTGCATTTTTAGCCTTTTATGTTGAGCGTGGTGTTCATTGTTAGCAAGATTAGGGAGGAAACAAAACGTTCTTCATTTTGAAAAGCAAAGAGCAATTTTTTTTATTTTTTTTCTGTGTCTTTCATTGATATCAGGTGCCATGGTGAATGGCTAAGTGACATCCAATTAGAGCTGGTAGAAATTTTCTAAACTTAAACCTCAAATATCAAATTTGAAAGTATTTTTGAGTTTCTTTTTTGGCCAAGTCTAGCACCAACTTACCATTTTGAATAAACTGATCCAAAAAAATGTAGGCTAACTATCGGGAAATGAGTCTAGAAGGCATGGCACTGAAATAGTCTCTCAAGTAAAATGATGAACCTGGTAACTTCAGTCATTGTCCAGTTAAAAACAACAATACAGTGAAGAATATTCTGCAAATAGAATCGTTCACCAGCATACGATTAAGTATATTTAAAAAAAGAGATGGGCAAAGATAAAATAGGTTTCTATCAGTTTGATTATGAAAATATTCACTCATTTGCCTAATATATTAGTGTGTCTTATAGCTGATGCTTGGGCTTAAAATTTTCTAACATGCAGGCTGCAATTTGTTTTCTAGGTGGGGTGAGCTCTGAGGCTGAAGCTAGGCAAAAACAACAAAGAAGACTCCTGCAATCTAAATACCAGCAAAAGGTCAGGGGGGAATATATGTGTGGGGTTTTAGGATTTTTTTTTTCCTCAAAAGTCCACTGTTTTATGTGGTTAAAAAGTGAACTCTCAAAGGTTTGGCAAAAGAAATAGAAGTCCCGAGGCTTCGAAAGAGACAAATAAAAGGTGGAGTTGAGACACTTCTCTCTAATGCAGAAAAGGAGACTGCCATGCAATTGTGTAAACAATATTGAAAACACCTCTAAATAATGAGGTTAATGATAATGCCACTGATGTTGCCCTTCATATGTTCAACATACTATGTAAGCAGTACTTAATCAACACGCCAACCCATCTTTGAGAGCTTTTAATATTATCCCCATTACAAAGGGATTATATGCTTGTAAAGGTCAGTGAGTGAGGACCCTTGCTTAGCCGCCTACAGAGAACAGATAGTTTTGAATAATCATTCTGGAGGAGCTATTGTACAGTTAATATATTTATCTAATTACAGTTAGGAGTGTCCATGCTTTTTTTTTCTTTAACTTCATCCAAAACAAAATTTAGGCTTGAAAGAGGTGCAATACAAAAGCCAAACTGTGTTTTTTTTTGTTGTGTGTGTGTGTGTGCTCCTCCATGCCATATAGCTGAAGAAGGAAGAATATGCAAGAATCAAGAAAGAGACTGAAGAAGCTGAAATCCGGACAATGAAAATGATTCAAAGAGAAAAGGTAAAAGTTGTCTGAGTCTGCAATAGCCAGAATATTCCACTGGAACAGAGCTTTACCTGGAATCTATAGGATGGATCCTTGGTGCATGTAAATTGGTTATCCTTATTTACATTGAGGATCTGGTCCTTCATCTGAAGTTTTATGTATCTTCTTAGATGGACTGATGTGCTGCATTCACAGACTCACTTCTATAGCTCTAGTAGGGAAGCAGGTCATGCACCTATACCTTCAACTTCTAGATTACTAGAGTTTTATACCTAATGTTTAGACATAAGCTGTTCCTTGAAGAGTTGCAGAGCTGGAAATACTCTGGCTCATCTCTTGAAGGGTATGTCTACCCTATGGAGAAGATTGACCTCCTGAGGGCTAATGTAGACTCCAAAATCGAAAGCTGAGGGCAGCCCCCGCCAGCTTCCTGTACTCCTCCAAGGAGTAAGGGAAGCTGATGGGGAGCGTGTGCTTCCTGTTGGTCTCCCACAGTGTAGATGCTATGGTGGCTCAGCTTCAGAGAAACCAACTCTCCAGATATGCATTTTGCGTAGTTGGATGGCATAACTTAAGCCGACCTGCCTGTTCTAGTGTAAAACAGGCCTAAGAGGAACCTGTTCAATCTGCCCAGTGGTCACGTGGCTGACAGTCACTGATCAGAATGATATGGCTATGGGACCATGGATTATCTACTGTCCTGGGAGTATATTTCTCATGCTACCTTCAAAATGAGAGATCCTGGAGGCCCAATTGTAAACAAACCAATTTTGGAGGTGGTGGATACTGCAATGTACTATCTTCTTGTTTTGGCTGGCACACTTTCGTTTTTGCTTTTTATCCTTATTGTTCTCAGTCAACTCTGTTATGATTCAGGGAGTGGCTATATAAATACACCATTTCTTCAAAGTTTGAAAGGCTGATGAGAGAGTTCTACATATGGAATGGAATACTTAACACTGGTATCTGTACAAAAATAATTTACCTATCTTCTAGCTGTGTAGGGTGATGTGTTTTGAATTTATGAAAAGATCCCTACTTTAGATCCGCCTCAACTGATGTTGAAAAGGGTTGTCCCTTTAGATGAATAAGAGCAGAACTAAGATAAGAAGGTACAGAATAATGCTCTATGCCATTGCCCATCTTCCTCTTCTCCTCCCCCACCCCCTCCCCGGGTGTGGCTCATGAAGCACCCCCCCCCAGTGGCTTGTAAAGCTGCCCTGTGCCCCCCAAAATGGCTCCCTCATCCTGGCTCCCTGTGCTGACCTGGGCAGGGAAGCCATTTAGCCAAAAAGCATTGAAATGCCTTTTCTTAAAGGGGCAGAGTGTGGTTTTTTTTTGTGGTTTGTGTATGTGTTCCCCCGCCCCCCCCCCCTCCCAAATGTGACTGGGGGCTCCTTTTAAAGGGGCAAAAGAGGTAGTCCTGAATTTTTTGCTCTACAGCTTTGCCATGGCTCTTTGTGCTGGATCCATTGATATCTTGGCTCTTTGCCCAGCATGGGTTGGCCATCCCTGCTTTATGCCTAAGGCAAACTTCTGGAATGCTGTACTTACAAATATAAATCTGTATATTTTGATGGAAATGCTTCCATACAGTGAGGTCAGGATAAAACCATTTTTCTAACAGGAGTGTTTACTTTCCACTGAAACTCCAGGGAGAAGTGACATCCCTTCTTTCTTTCAAGCAGAACAATGGACAAATTTGGAAGTTTGCAGAAGTGCAGAACCTCATGTGATAAGCACAGGCATGATTTTGTTGGGAGGTATTTACCCCAATTTTGGGAGCACTCCAGAAGGAGTAATGGAATCTCAGGATGAAATCCAGACCCTACTGAAATCAATGTGAGTCATAACATTCACTTCCATGCAGCCAGGATTTCACCCTTGGAGTCTAGTTCTTAAATAATGGATGTGGTCCCACATGGCCTCCAAGGGTATGTCTACACAGCGGCATTATTTTGGAATAACTGACATTATTTCAAAATGCACAGCAAGCCATTATTTTGAAATAATATCAAGATGGAGGGCTTCTTACTTCAACTCCTGTAATCCTTCTTTCACGGTGGAGTAAGGGGAAGTCAAAGGAAGACTGTTCTTCCTTCTTCTTCCTGCTGTGTAGATAGCACCAAAAGCTGAATTAATCTATTTTGACTTCAGCTAGGCAATTGACATAGCTGAAGTGGTGTAGCTTAATTCGACTTGCTGTGCTGTGTAGAGGTATCCAAAGAGCCTATGTGTTGTGGCACCCATTTGCACACAAATGACCTATCTGCCACAATGTCACTGACCGTATTCCTGGCTATGCTCACCTTGAAGTGCCTTGGGCCCTTCCTTCTATTGCTCTTTCTTCTCTGCAGTCTTGCATCGGTGGCAGTGTGAATTCTGCCGTATCAGAGTTCCTACTTAGAGTACCACCTTACTAAGTATCTGACCAACGTGGATGACACAGCTGTATATGAATCTTAGACCAAGATATCCGTCAATACTGTGTAAACAGACCTAAATGGCCATGACACACTTAGATTTTCCAACAGGTCTGAATTAAACCGCAGAATCATAGAACACTAGAACTGGAAGGGACCTTGAAGTCCTCAAGTCCAGTCCCCCTGCCCTCACAGCAGGACCAAGCACTGTCTAGACCATCCCTGTCACGTTGCATTTGAGGTAGGGGTGTGTGTGTGTGTGTGAACTTTTTTTAATTAAATTACAATCTGAGAACATTCTGTGGGCCACCCTTTGCCCCTACCTCAAATTCCTGTTGTGCAGGAATGTAAAGGTTGTCTGTCTTCTCTGTGCCACCAACCTCAATTCTTCTGGATACGTTAGGGACTAAAAGGCTACTTGTGAGACCATAATGATCCCTGTAGGTCCTCCTGTGGCTCTTCTCTGGAAGGCAGACTGTAGCCTTTTCACATTCCTTTTTCTAGAATGAATGTGTCCACCTCTGCCTGACTCTGCCATCAGTGGCATTTGCTATGGGATAACAAGGGCCATTACACTCTTCCTTCTCCTCTTTCTCTCCCCCTCCCCCAACCCACCAAGGCTTTGGACTCGGTCTTTAGGAAAAGCAGTAATAGCCCCAGGAATGGGGGGAAACTAAGCCATTTAGGACAAAGCATGTTCTATATGCTGACACAACTTCACACACTCCTAGTCTTTGCTTCCCTCCAGAGGACAGATGTGTTCTCTGTAAGAAAAACCTCAAGAGACTAATTAGAACCACTTCCATGCAGATTACAAATGTTGTTAAACTGTCATACATCCTAACTCCTGTATTTTTGCTTCTATAGAGATTAGAGACATGTTTGAGAAATACAAAGCCATGTCTTCAAAATATGCCCCTCTTCCACTCTTTGGCTATGTCTATATTGGCAAGATTTTGCGCAAATACTCTTTAACGCAAGAGTTTTTGCGTTAGAAGCTCTTACTCAAATACTTACACTGGCATGTGCCTTTGCGCAAAAGCACATCTTTTGCGCAAGAGCATCCGTGGCAGTGTAGACTCTCTTGTGCAAGAAAGCTCCGATGGCCTTTTTAAACATCGGGCTCTCTTGTGCAAGAAATTGATGTTGCGCAACTGTTCTTGCGCAACAAGCCAGTGTAGACAGGCAAGAGGGCTTCTCCCTGAGAGGGAGCGTCAGAGTATTTGCGCAAGAAGCACTGATTTTATACATTAGAACGTCAGTGTTCTCGCGCAAGTACTCGCGGCCAGTGTAGATGTAGCCTTTCAGTGAAAATAATTACATGGTTTATTTTGTTACATAGTAATCTTCTGCCTACTAGTCCTTCCAAGTCCTGGGCCAGATTCTGTGGTATATTCTCCCACAACCTTCTTAGCTGAGCCACAGACCAAAATGTCCAGCTTTTAAAATACTCACTTTTGTAGTAGGGACGGTGAAAGGGTCAACTGAGGATTTTGTGTACTTGCTCTGTGCAGGAGTAAAGCCCCCTTTAGATTTTTAGAGCTACCTTCTGGAAGTGTGTGTGTGTGTGAGGTCAACCTCAAAACAACTCTTGCAGGCCCCTTGTTTTTCAATAAGAGCATGTTGCTGTTCTAGATATGTTAGCATTAGATTTAAGGTGGCCTCCTCTCTCAGGTTCATCACTCTATACAAAACATAATTCCCTCCATTCTAGAGCTCCTCAGTTTTATTTCACAGATGTTGCTTGTATACAGACTCTTCTACAAAGGCGCTCCTACTCTTGTGTGTGACATTTTTACAGCTGAATAAATCTATCTCCAACAACAAAACTTCCAATAGCTTGTTTATATAGAGTAGCACTTAGTTCAGAATATAACATAACAAAGCATTTCCTAGTGATAGGCCACTCGTGTTATGGAGTAACTGTTTAGGTGTTAAAGTCAAGTGGTAAAGACAGGTTTAAGAATAATCTTCAGTCTAGAGATCAAAACTACGAGAATCTTAGGGTTACTTCAGGAGCTCTTGAGATATTAGATGGCTGCCATCCCTTCATTTCAATTAGTCAATCCACCTGCACTATGGCAGGGCCAAGTAAACCCAGGCCACTCCTAAAGAGTGTGTTTTGTGATCTGTGGGGGGGGGGGGGGGGTTTTTTTTTTTTTTTTTTAAAGAAGGAATTTCCCAACCTCCCTTGAAACTGTTTCAGGGCTTAGCTACCCAATCGTATTAAGAGTTTTTCCTAATATCTAACTTAAATTCCATGCTGCACATTAAGTCCATCATTTCTTGTCCTACCTTCCATAGACATGGAGAACATTTATTGCCATACTCTCAAACAGCCCCAAGCATATTTGAAGACTCTCTTTGGTTCCCTCACCCTTCCCACAGCTATGTCTTGTCAAGATTAAACATGCCTTGGTGTGTGGGGGGGTTTTGTGTGTGGGGGTGTTTTTTTTAAATATATCTGTCTTCACAGCCCAGGTTTTCTATGCCTGTTATCGTTTTTATTCTTCTCTGGACTCTTGAATTTAGCAACATCTTTCTTAAAGTGTTGCAGGCAGACCTGAATGAGCGATCTAGCTGATGCTATAG